CCAACGAGATGGATCGGCCAGGTGGCATCATTGATGGACTCAGGGTGGCAGCGGTGGTGAGGTTGGCCCAGGATCGAGCATTGTTTCGTTCTGCTGTGATGGGGTCGCTATGAGTTGGTTCCGACTCGATGGCACCTGACAACAACAACAACAACAACTACCTTGCCAAACAGGAGCCTCAGGGCACCCCTGAGGCTAAGGCAGGTGTTATTTATCTCTACTTTACACATGAGGAAACAGGTCCACAGAGATGAAAAATGCTGGCTCCAGGGCTGGGATTTGAGGCAGAGCAGACTCTAGAGTCTGTTTTCCCACCCATCTGCACCAGCGGGAGAAGAGGGTCAGGGTCAGGACAGATGTCTCTTAGGTAGGCTGTTGTGACAGAGAGACAGGGGGCAGACCTGAGGCTATGCAAACTGTTTCTAGGTCACACATCTCTATGAGCAGCTTACACAAGCTTGGGCCTCCTCTTCTGAAAAATGTGTGAACATACAGCTGTGCCTGCACTTTGGTGGGTGAGGGGACAGCCATGACAGATGCCAGAGCAACAAATGTAGAAGGCAGATGGGATGGGGACAGGTTGGGGCCTATTCTGAGTCCTTAATGTCACCTTGCCCCCCAAATAAACTGTCCACCAGGATGTAACTAGACACAGTGCACAATATACCCCAGTGACTTTCTGGGCCTTCATGAAGGTGATTTTTCCCGAGGACAGCCAGGCTGTGACAGGATGTGGGTCAGGACTCTGGGGACTCAATTCCCTTCCCCACAGACGTGTAAGCAGCAGTGCTGGGTAAGTACGGATGTGGGTGGCCATGCTTCCTGTTGCCTTGTGGAAGCTGAAGCAGTTAGCCCCAGCTGGCCTTCCCCTCTCCCCACATCCCTTACCATCATAGGGGCTGCACTTGCCCCCTATCTCCTCCTGGGGTTCCCTTGAGATCCTGAAATCGTAGGAGCAACTGGCAGGGAAACCCACCCATATCACCCTGGGTGATCATTGTATGTATGGGTTCAGAATAGTACCTGGATGTTATTTTCCTTTAACAATTACTTTAAGAACAAATAGGTAACACTAAAAATAGCGATTGAGAAAATCTTTCCATTGCAGCCCACCCCTACAGATGAGAAAAGTGAGGCCTGGGAAATCAAAGGACTTGGTCAAAGCAGACCACACAGCACAGAGCCTGAGTGGTCTCAGAGACGCTGACTCCTGGCCCAGTGCTCCTCCCCCTGCACCAAGCTGCTTCCAGGGGCCAAGGCTGTTCTGGGAACTGACACATATGGGTTGTCCATAGGACATGAGAGGCAAGAGGAAGCCCAGGAGATGATGCCAAGATGGAATGAGAGTGCAAAGAGAAGTTTGCTGAGATAACCAGCCCCAGAGGCAGCTCTCAGCGAGTTGGTTTGTGGTTGTTAAGTGCTGTCTGCCGAGTTGGTTCTGACTCATAGAGACCCTGTAGAGGGTTTCCAATGCTATAAATCTTTGTGGGGACAGAAAGTCTCATCTTTCTCCCACAGAGTGGCTGGTAGACTCAGACCAATATAGTTCACAGTCCACTGCTAGCTTGGTGGTGGTTATGCGCCGTGGAGTCGGTTCCGACTCATAGAGACCCTGTACAGGGTTTCTGAGGCTCTGCAAAAGTGAAAGCAGGGTGGGCTGGGCAGGTGTTGGATACAGGGGACTGGAAGTGAGACAAGGGGCCCAAGAAAAAGCAGCCCAAGCCCTGGGTAAGGAATAGACAGGAAGAGCAGGAGGTCCCACACAGCAGGCTTAGGGGAAGCCAGTGAGCTCCTACCCCGAGAGTGGTCAGCAGTGGCTCGACACAGTGCTGACAAGGGAGAGGTATGGTGGTGGGTTAAACAAGGTGACAGAGGTCAGAGGTCAAGTCCCAACTCTGCCCTGAGCTAGCAGCAGAACTAGATAGGACATTTCCTCTTTGTGGAATGGGAAGATAGAGAGAACACTCACCCTGCCCACAGGGAGGAGAGATAGTGAGAACATTCACCCTGCCCACAGGGAGCTATTATGTTCCCACTTTACAGTTGAGGAGACCAGGCCTGGTAAGGTGACCTCCCAGGGTCATGCAGCTTGCAGGACCCAGTTACCTAAGCCTCTGTTTTCAGTGACTGTGCACATTACTTCTCGGTGTTGCTTCTTGCAGAGGGTTCCTTGATAGGGAGGGTAGCACACCCTACTTTAATATCTTTTGATTTTATATATATTAAAAGGGGGGGGCTGTGGAGGAGCAGGGAGATGTGGCAATTAAGTCTGAGCTCCTTGACTCAACTCTCAAGGCCCTCAGAGCTGGTCTTCCCAGCCTCCCCTCAGCAGTGCCTCGGCTCATGCTCAAGGCATCACAGCATCCTCCTGGACTCTGGTGCCAGACTGCCAACCTCTGCCATTTCCTGTGTGATCTTGGGCAAGTGGGCCAACCTCTCTGCATCTCTGCTTCCTATTCTGCAATACAAAGACAATAACAGCCTCCACTTCACAGCGGAAGTGACTGGCAGATGTTGTCATTCATACCCCACTCTACTGTTCATCATTGCGCAGAGGCTGCTCTGACTCACCCCCACTTCCTCCAAAAAACTGTCCCAGAAGCCTCCTCCTGGTGGCTTCTTCTCGGTTCTGGGAGTCCCTGGACCCATTTCTCAGCCCTTGTTACAGGCTGTTGTTTTCTGTTTGCTTGTTTGTCTCTTCAACCACATTGGTGTCTCCTCAACCACACTAGAAGTTCCCCAAGTGCAGAGCTAGAGCAACCAACCTGGGCCTGGCACAGAGTAAAGGAGATGGGCCAGCCTGCGTGTGGTAAGTGCCACAGTGGGGGCTGCTGAACCCAGAGGAGCCAGGCCCTGCTGTGGTCAGCAGGTGAGTGGTGGCCTTGCAGGTCCCTGAGAGAACTGCCACTCTCAGCTCCACTGCCCTCCCTCCGCCTCATGGAGAGCCTGCTGCTACTGGAAATGGAACTACTAGTACTTCACATCCTGGTGCAAGACCCTGTACTGCGGACTTCGTCAATGTTCATTACGCCCCTCAGAGGAGCCAGTGGGAGGAAAACAGGTTCTAGGAAGCAGGTCACTGCTAGAAGCACAGAACACCCACATGCCAGAGGTGGATTTGAGCTCAGCCTGCTCCATCCCACCATAGTTCTCTCTGGTACTTCCCCAGCCCGTTCTGTGCAGGGGATAGGCTAGTCTCCCCCAAACATGCTGACAGGTCATGCCTCACTGGATAGGAAGCCTACCACCAGCAAACTCCATGTGCATGCACACACCTGACCCATGTGCCCGGCACTGGGCTAGGCACTCAAGACCTGGGAACAGCATCGTGACAATGAGTATAGTCCCTGTAGTCTGTCTTCACAGATGAGGAAATGGACTCGGGATGGTTAAACAATCTGCCCCTACCAGATCAGAGTCCCTCACTCTTCAGCCTGAGTCACTAAAGCCTCCCTCTAAAGCAACGTCCATTCCTACAATGCCCTGGACAGCTATGAGAGACAGCACAGTGCATGTGGGGAGGAGGTCCACTTTGAGTCAAACTTCAGAGGAGACAATGTGGACTTGGCACTTCTGGAGGGAATGAATACCAGCTTGAGTGAGCAGGGTTTGAGATGAAAATGAGGGTGGGGAAGAATCTAGACCGCCTGGGGCCTGGGCCACACCAATCTGAGGGGCTAAAGGGAAGACCCATGACCGCCATGCCAAACCTAGATTGAGAAACTCAGGATTTGATGAAAGGATAGTGGGGGTAAAGGGAGCTGTCAAGAAGAGGTAAGAGATGCAGAGGAGTGCAGGAACTTGGTGGGGGTTAGGGGGAGGATGAGGCAGACTCTCCCAGAGGAGGACATGGAGGATCCAGAGGAGCTTAGAGAGGAGGATGGGGAGGAGGGAGAGAGACGTTGGGGGGGGTATGGGGGGTGGAGGAGAGGGGAGTGAAGAGTTCAGAATTAACCTGAACTCTCAGCTCTGAAGCTCAATACCTGGCCAGATGGTGGTGTGCCCACAGCAGGAAGGCACCTTTCATGTCTCTGTACACCCTGAAGCACCTGGCCCCACATCCTCTGGAGGGAGTGGGGCGGGGAGGTGAGTGATTCAGCCTGAGGTAAACCATTTCAAGGACACCCTTCATGGGCCCATTTGATCCTCATCCCTAAGGCAGTTAGCCTCTGGCTCTAGAATGTTCTGAATCATTCCCCTGTTTAGACCAACACAGATGTTCTGGCTCCCACATCCATTGACCTGCTGCCCCAGGGTCCATGGGGGTGGAGTCCAAGGGAGCTAGGGGTCATGACCCCAGGGGGTCCCTCAGGCAGGAGGAGCAGGCTGGCATCTGGGGGCTGAAGGCAGTGGGGCACAGAAAAGGGAGGGACCCAGGAAGAAAAAATGCTAGAAATGAAAAATGTGTCACTCATCTGGCAGAACAGTGAAATCAAGTGCCCCTCCCATGTTGAAAAGCAAAACAAAAAAACTAAAAGGGGGTACAGAAGGGACATGTGACTTTCACAGTTGCTTTAAAGTCAGCCCTACTGCAAATATAAATGAACAAAACACAATAGAGCAAGGCTGCTCTCTTTTTTGGAGGGAGTGAGGAGAATCCACAGAGCCAGATCCAGAATCCAGCCATCTGGTCTGTTTGGGATTGTGTGTGTTGTAAATCCTTAACACTCTAGAAGTGCTGAGATGCTAACCAGAAGCGACGGGATCCCCCCCCCCCCCCCCAGGAGAAAGATGTGGCAGTCTGCTTCTGTAAAAATGTATAGCCATGAAAACCTTCTAAGGCAGTTATACCCTGTCTTACAGGGTCAATAGTCCATTTGGAACTAGATTTTATTTGTTATGTTAATGAAGAGATATTAGTGTAGAGAGATGTGTGCTTTACGTCAAGCTCTTTTGAGATATAAAAGAAGCTAAGTGGTGGTGGTGGTGGTATGCCGTGGAGTTGGTTCTGACTCATAGCGACCCTGCGTAGGATTTCCGAGGCTGTAAATCTTTGGTTGGTTGGTTGTGTGCCATGGAGTCGGTTCCGACTCATAGTGACCCTGTATATGGCTTCTGAGGCTGTGAATCTTTATGGGAGAAGAAAGTCTCATCTTTCTCTTGCAGAACAGTTGGTAGTTTCAAACTGCTGACCTTGAAGTCAGCAGCCCAACTGGTAACCACTATGCTACCAGAGCGCCTTCCTTAAAAGAAGATTCAGCAAGCAGAGATGGGGGAAGCTAGATGCGAAGCCACATGAAGATCAGCAAGGAGTCAAGGAACAAGAACCATTCCTCAGAGGCAATAGAGAGAGGCTTCCCCTAGAAGGCTCTGAATTTGAAGGCTAGCCTCCTAAACTGTGAGAAAATAAATTCTGTTTGTTAAAGCCATCCACTTGTGGTATTTATTGCAGCACTAGATAACTAAGATATTCCCCAAAGGACCAGGAGGAAGGCTTCCCCTCCAACAAGATGCAGGACTATGTGATGAATGAGACCAACTTGCTATGCAAGCCACTACCCCTGGACCCCAGGGACAGATGTTCTGCCAGGGCCTCGCCTCTCACTCAGGTGGGGGTCTGTGGGGAGCTCTTCCCACAGCACTCCTGCCCAGGGTTCAGTTATCGTGTTTGAGCAGCAGACATACCCAGCGTTGTCCTGGGCAGCAGAGCCATGTCCTACCATCTCCTGTCATCACCTAGATGCTACACAGATCCTCATTCTGTCACATCCCAAATGGATTCAACATCTTCCCTACAGTCATGCTGCCTGGGCTCATCTCTGACTGCTCCTGCCCGCCTAAATCTCTCTGCCCACCCCTTCTTTTCATCCCCACCACTATCACCCTTCTTATGGGTACCACATTATCTTCTGCCCAGATTACTGTAACTGTCATCCAAGCTTTAAGTCTTGCCCCCTCCACTCAGCAGTCAGTCTTCTGACTTCTTCAGTGCCTCAGTGTGCCCATCTGTAAAATGGAATAACCCATGGCCTGTGTCAAGGATTTTATGAACATGCTTTGAAAGCTACAAGTGTTAACACAAATGGGAAGTAATACTCTTAGAACAAGCAGTGGGGCAGTTGGGACTTGAGATTTTAAGAGGCCTGTCCAATGCCCAGGTCTAAACAGAAGTAGGAGGTTCATGTATTGAATCTGGATTTTTCCTGAGCAGGAAACAAGAACTAAAGAGAGTGTCATCTTCCAAATGGCCCCCTTGGGAGCTAAACTCATGTTCCCTTGAGAATGTCACTGCCTTCTTGGAAGATAATGTCAGAGACTGGGGCAAAAAGTTTGGAAAACAATAAGAGCTTCTACTTGTTGGGAATATCACAGGCTAGTCAGTGCTTAGTGCATATCTCTATTAACTCGTCTTCTTGTATTTCTGAGGGGAAGAGTGTTGTCCTCATTTTCTTGATGAGGAACTCGAGGCTTAGAAAATGGATGTCATTTTTCCATGCCACACCTGGAATAAGCCATGGTGTCAAGATGAGGACTACTCAAGCCTGACTAACTCAGCCTGGACATCAACCAGCTGGACATCAACCTCCATTCTTTGAAGACAGACCTGACTTTCAGGAACAGCCGGTTCCATGGCCCCAAATCCCAGGGGTGCAGTCCCTTTAGTATTAACAGTTAAAAGTAAAATGTGGTGGGAGTCCCATCAAAGCAGATAGATGTCAATGGTCTGGAAAGAGGATGCCTAGCCGTGGACCTGGAGCAGCTGGCTTCCAAAACAGCTGGTTTTTTGTTTTGTTTTGTTTTTAAATAAAAAGGGATGGATGCCATTTTGTAAACTCCGAACCCTGAGGCAAGTGAGGTCCATGGTAACATCTTGTATCTCTGGGTCTCTGGAGTCTTTGTAGGATGACCAATCAGAGAGCCTGAGGTGAGAGCTGAAGGAGAAATTTAACCAGCAGGTGAGATAGTCAGTGACAAAGGATATAGTCTTTTCTGAACTGTGTCAGGGACAAGGTACAGAAGAGATGGTTTCAGAAATGTCAAGAAGAAATGGTTGGAGAATTCTCTGTGTAAAAGAGGCCAGAGATAATCCCTACTTTACCTGGCTTCCAGAATTTCTTGACCGTCATCCAGTCCTTGTCGCTAGTCTCTGAGACTGTCTTGCCCTCTGAGTCCTCCTGGTCCATGGGCTCGCCCGCCCACTGTAGGCCGTAGTCACTGAGGAACCGCTAGTGGGAGAGAAAGGGGAGATGCCAGGGCACCGTCAGCTCAGCCCCTTCCAAGGGAAAAGGCAGCATCTGCCCCATGTCTAGCCTAAATCCTCAGCTTTCCGAAGCAAACTGGACAAAGTGGATGTTCTAGGGAATGTTAGCCACTTCCTGACTATGTGACCTTAGAAAAGCCACTTCACCTCCTAGAGCCTCAGACTCCTCTTCTATCAAATGGAGATGAAGCACTTGTCCCTGAAAGGTTGCTAGGAAGACAGATGATTTATGTCAAATATTTAGCAGGGTGCCAGGCACAAGTAAGAACTTTATCAAGTTAGCCATTATGGCTTTGTGAAACCATGTGAGGTCAAGCTTCAGTGGCTCTGGACTAAATGTGAGGAGGGACATCCTGCCCTGCAGGAATGGAGAGGACATGGCCACCACAGGCTAGTCTCACTAGGGCTTGGTCTCACATCCTCTCTGTTACAAGCCATCTTGAATTGCCTATACTTCCTGTTGCTGCTTCCTTATATCCCTTTCTTTCCGCCCTCTCCACAACTTACTAAAGCTGCTTGTGAGACAACCAACAACAATCTACAAGTTATCAAAACACAGGTCATACTTTTGTCTTCGTCTCTTCCAACAAATGCCTGGTTTTCCTCCTACCTCATGAGCTGTTATTCCTTTTCAATTTACTTTGCTGTTTCCCATCTATGAGGGGCTTCAAAAAGTTTGTGTGAAAATGGAAAGAAAAGATAATGGAATTTTTCCATGAACTTTTGAAGCCCCCTCATATTTGTTGATATGTAACATCTGTGTTGGAGTCCCCTTCATACTGAGCCCCCTTCATACATTCATTCCTTTGTGGTTCAAATCATTCCAAATACATATATGCACAGTACCCACATTGATATCTATCTAGTACAGACCTCACCCTTGAGCCCCAAACTCAAATGTCTAGTTATCTACTCTTAGATGGTGTGGCGTTGGAGGATAAACACAGGACTGCATATTTGGTTTGAAACACAAGTTTGGCAGTGCAAACTCACCAGCTGCTCCTCAGAAACTATACAGGGTTGCTGTGAGTTGAACCAACTTGATGGCACTTAACAACAACAACACGCTTAGGTGTCTAAGAGTCATCTCAAAATTAACTCGTTCAAAACATTCATGAACTCCCTGCCTCCCCTCCAGGTTTTCCTGCCTCAGTTAATGGTATCCTCACCCATGTCCCATTCCTTACTGGAACCCATCATCCCTGATGACCCACAAGGCCTGTGGACACCAGTTCCAAAGCAGACTTAAATCTGTCCACTTTGTCAATCTTTTCTGCTGCCATCCTAGTTCACAAATTGCTGTCACTTCTCTGCTGGACAAGTATAACAGCTGCTTCCCCCTCCCACTTGTGCACCCCTGACAACCCTTCTCTGCACAGCAGGGTGACCTTTTAGTCATGTTGCTCCTCTAACCAAAACCTTCCTATGGTTTCCCATTCTTGGAACCGAATCCAACCCTCATCGTGATCTGGCCTCTGTCTGCTCTTCTTGTTCCCTCTCTTGTTCACCACAACCACAGACTGAAAGCCAAGTTTGTATGGCTTGTAGCTACAGCTGAGGCTTGGAGCTTGCTTTCAACCTCATAAGAGGTTGGGGCTTTCGTAACTAACTCTGCATAGAAAGGGAGAGAGGAGAGACCCTGGCACAGAAAGGAGAGAACTTTCCAGAGTTCCGGCAGGGCCAAAGTGTGCCTGGGGCCTTTTCTTGTGCCTGGTGTCCCTCCAGTTCAATTCTAGCTTCACTTTCCCTATGCTCCAGACCCTCCTAGGATAGACCCTCCCTCCTCAGTGACTCCTGATCCCAGCCCTATCATGCCATCAACTCAGCACTTGGTGCTGGGTTGTGATGTCCATCTCTCCCAACAGACTCAAAAATAGAGCCTGGGTCTGATGAATGTGCATTGCCTGAGCTCCTGGTACAGAAGAGCTGGGCATGGGTCTTGAAGTCTTGAAGTGCTGTTTGAGCGATAAGTGGGGGAGTGAGCGGAGGCAGGACTAACTAAATCACGGGATGAGAAGTCATGTTCACAATAGGGAATGACTTTGGCCACATCAGTCATCATATGTGCCCGGCCCTCTGCTGGATACTGGCCTGGGGCAAAGAACATACAGGAAGTGGTCCCTCTCATGGAGCACATGGTGTGTGGCAGGACAGAGAGATGAGATACTAAGACAGTGTAGGCAGAGAATGTGCCATGGTAAGAGGCCAGGGAGGGTCCCCTGAAACAGTGACCGCAATTTGAGACTGAGGATAAGTGAAAACTGACCAAAAGAAGTCATGGGCTAAGGTCTTGAGGTGGAAAAGAGTTCCAAGTAGTCAAAGAACCAGCGAAAGAGCTTCGTGGCTTGAGCAAAGTGTGAAGGGGTGAGTAGTTCAGGATGTCACTGAAGCAGTAGGAAGGGGATAGCCCACGCTGGCTATGGGAATCGCTCTGCTGTTTAACCCAAGAGCAACGGAGAGCTCTGAGGTCTACTGAGCAAGAGAGTGGTATTTTCAGGACCCAAAAAGTGAGTGTGCCCTGGCATTAGACATCTCCTTGGCTCTTTAGATTCTAGGTTAAACATGAGCCAGACCCCTGGTTGGGATGGAGGTACCAAAGAAGTGGTCTATAACCCACTACCTAAGGGGCAGATCCCCAGAGCCAGGGACTGAGGTCCCGCCACTCACCTCCATCTCATTGACCTGCCGTTGTAGCTGCGTGCACATGTTCTCCAGTTCCTCCTGCCGCTGCAGGGCCGCCCCGCCTTCAGGGAAAGATGGGAACAGGGTTCAGGAGTCCCTGGTCAGAGGCTACCAGGCCACCTCTGGAGAAGCTTCCCTCAGAGAACATGAGGGATCCCCAACAACTGCCTCAGGTCCCATCTCTCTGGTCTTCCTACTTTACTTGAGAGGAGACGCTACAACAGGAGATTAGCACCCCCAAGTCCCAGGTCCTGAGGGTGGACCTGACTCTCCTCTACATTTCAGATGGTGTACTTGGTGCTTGGACTGAATTCTGTCTGCCTTTGGAGGCTCAGTCCCACATAGGATGGTGCTGAACAACTCAAGCACTGTCCTGGATGTGTGCCTTCCCCACAGGACTCAGCTGTCCAGACCCTATCACATCCCTGATGCACAGAAGTCACTGTGCAAGTACTCAGGAGCTGGCAGCCTGGGGAGGTGCCCACTGAGAGGATCGCTTACACTGGTTCTGCTGAAGGCTCTGCACCAAGTCCTCCAGGGCCAGTATCTTCTTATCCTGAAGCAGCAAGACACAGGGTCAGCATGAGACCTTTTGACTCCCAGAGCCCAAGGGAGTAGGGAGTGGGTGATCCCCAGCCCCTCCGATGGGACGATCTAGAATTTGTGCCTATGTGGAGATGCTGAGGAACCTAAAGCCCTTTGGCACAGTCTTGTTCTTGTACCTCAGATAACCCAGGTAATTGGAAATGAAATGAGGGAAGGTGTGTCTAGGGGTGCAGTGCTCAGTCAGCCATCAATTGTGGAGAAGGACCCTAGTCTCTCTGCTTAGGATCATGGGGATCTTGGTCAGTCCCAGGTCCAGATGAGTCCTTCTACCAGGTAGTTCAGCACAGGTGGTGGTTCCAGAACCCACAGTCTCTGGCCTCATCACTGGTCTCTCTGTCCAGCTCCACCCTTCAGACTGGACCCTGGCCCTTCCCGCCTGGTATCCCACCTTGGACAGTATCTCCATGGACTGGGTCTTCACCTGCTGCTCCAGATCCTGCAACTTCCTGGCCATGGAGGACATCGTGTCTGAGTTCCGAAGCACAGCACCTGCTAACCAGACAAGTCATTTGGCGCTCAGGCTGAGAACTGAGGGAGGCTGGGGATGGGGGAGTCAACGAGCTGAAATAAAAGTAATGATAATAGCTAACATTTATGCATCAATCAGGAACTGTTCTAAAACTTTTATGTTTGTCCATTTATGTAATTCTGACAGTATACCTATGAGATAAAGAAATTGTTATCATAGGAAGATTAAGGAATTTATCCAAGATCACACAGTTAGCAGTAAGTGGTGACATGTATACATTACATTATCTTGAAGTATTCTTGTCAGAAAGTTTACCCTCCATCTAATCAAGCCACATTAATACAACCTGGATGGCAAACAATCAAATCTGTAATGTAGAACATTCTGCAAAACTCAGTGTTATTTTTTTAAGAAGGTAGGAAGACTGCTCTGAATTAAGACACCACAGAGAGAAAGCAATGAGATGCAGGGCATGAAACTCAGTTGGATCCTAGATCACAGGGGGAAAGAGCTTTAAGAGCTATTTTGATCAGACACAAAAGGACAAATATTATATGGTGGTGGTGGTATGCTGTGGTGTTGGTTCTGACTCATAGCGACACTGTACAGGGTTTCTGAGGCTATAAATCTTTATAGGAGCAGAACGCCTCATCTTTCTCCCGCGGAACAGCTGGTAGTTTTGAACTGCTAACCCTGAGGCTAGCAGCCCAATTCATAACCACTATACTACCAGAGCTCCTTAAATATTATTTAAGCCCATTTAAATGAAATTCCTAAAATAAGCAAATGCATAAAAGCAAGTCTATTAGTGGTCACAAGATGTTAGGGGAAAAAGGGCCTGGGAGTTATTGCTGAAGGAATTGAATTTCTGTCTTAGGTGATGGGAAACTTTTGAAGTGGAATAGTGTGATGAAAGCTTAACATGATGAATGTAGTTAATGTCACTGAATTCTATGCTTAAAATGGTTAAAGTGACAAAAATGTCAAAAAGAGTCTTGTGGACATTGGAGGAAATCTGAATGAAGGACATTTGATAGTATTATGAACTATTTATGTTCTTAGATGTGATCATAGCATTACAGTTATGTGTTTCCTTATTCTTACAGTATGTACATATTCAAAGGTGAGATGTCATGGTATTTGCAATTTATTTCTAACTGGTTGATTAAAAATATGCATTAACATTCATATGTATGTATATGGAGTTCTGGTGTGGTGCTGTGGGATAAGCACAGGACTGCTAACCCAAGTTCGGTGATTCAAACCTACCAGCTGCTCCTTAGAAACCCTATGTAGGGTCCTTATGAGTCAGAACCAATGTGACAGCGTTTAACAACAACAACAAAATATGTATATATGGAGAGGGAAGGAGAAAGGAAGCGTGGCAAAGTGTTGAAAATCTAGATGGAATCCATGTGGTTGTTAATATACTATTATCTCAACTTTTTTGTAGGCTGGAAATTGTTCAAAATAAAACGTTTAGGAAAAGATAAAAAGAGACAGACACAGGAAGAAAGGCTCTCCTCTTGCCCTGGATGTGGCCCTTTTAACGGGTGAGGATGGAGCTACAGCCAGCATCCCACAAGCAGGAGGGGCTGTCAGGCTGAAGATGATCTCAGGGGGAAGATGGAAAATGCATCTTTTTGTTGTTGTTGTTTTTAATTAGTAACTTGTTTTGTTGTTGAGAATATGTACAAGAAAAGCATACACCAATTCACATTTCTTTCTATATGTCTAGTTGAGCGACACTGATAACATTCTTCAGGTTGTGTAACCTTTCTCACCCTCCTTCCCTGAGTTGTCCCTTTCCCATGAACATACACTCACTGTCCTCTCACATTCCTATCTACTCTTTTGAGTTGCTATAGTCAGTTTGATTCCATGTAGGTGAGCACAATGCTCAAGGCAGACATTCTTTGCTAGTTAAGCTAAATTATTGTTTGGTTTTAAGAAGATTTCAGGGCATGTTTTCCATTTAAGGTTAAAGATGATCTCCGGGCAATAGTTTCAGAGCTTTATCTAGCCTCTCTGGCTTTAGAAAGTCTGAATTCCATGAACATTTGAAATTCTGTTCTACATTTCCCCTTTTAGGTCAGGATTCTTCTATAGAATCTTTGCTCAAAATGTTCAATACTAGTAGCTGGATACCACCCAGAGAAAACCTTTAGCTGTTGATGATGTCTTTAAGACATCATCAACTTCTTCTTAAACCTTCTTTAATAGCCTTGTTGGTAAAGTAAGGGTATTCTTTGACTTATACTCAAAACTTCCTAACTAAGCATCTTGGTGAAGTGACATAACATAGTCCTCAAAGATAACATTATACATCCTACTTTGGTGAGTAGTGACTGGGTCTTAAAAGCTTGTGAGTGGCCACTTAAGATGCAACTATTGGTCTCTCTCCGTCTAGTGCTTTGATAGAATGAAAAACTCAAGAAAACAATTAGTCCAAAGGACCACACAAATTTCGGAGTCCACTACCCTGAGAACTAGACAGTGCCTAGCTACCACTACCGACTGCTCTGATCGGGATCACAGTAGATGATCTTGGATGGAGTGGGTGAAAAATTAGGAACAAAACTCAAAATTATTTACAAAGAACAGACTCTATCATATTATTGGTATGGTAGAGGTTGATAGAGCTATGGAGACTACTATGATCCTTAGACACTTTTCAAACTTGGAACTGGACCCACCCCCAGGATCACTATGCAGCCAAATGATAGATACACCTAAAAAATGTAACAGTAGCACCCTCTCCTCAGAACAATCAACATATGCAATTACCCAGTAACAAAGCTCAGAAGGCCAAAAGGAGCAGGAAAGAAGGATGAAAGGAAACAGGGAACCCAGGAAGGAAGTAGGAAGAGTGTTGTTACATTGAAATGATTGCAACTAGTGTTAGGAACTCTGGTAGCGTAGTGGTTACGAATCGGGCTGTGAACCTTAAGGTCTAGCAGTTCGAAACTACCAGCCGCTCCGCGGGAGAAAGATGAGGCTTTCTACTCCCGTAAAGATTTACACCCTCGGAAACCCTGTACAGGGTCGCTATGGGTCGGAACCGACTCGACGGCACTTAACAACAACAACAGTGTTAGGAAACAAAGTGTATATAGATTGTTGAGTGGAAAACTAACTTGTTTTGTCAACTTCTACCTAAACCACAATTAAAAAAGAATTTTTTTTTTGAAGCTTCCTGACTGATATAGCCAGCGAAAAACACATTTGGAAACTGTCTGCACTTATAGCATGGGTGTGCTCACAGAGGTCACAGGTGGCGAAAGAAAAGAGAATCCAGCCAGGAGAACAACCACAGGAAAGCTGGGAGGAAGAGAAGGAGCTAGGATAACAACCAGGTGGCATGGCAGCCTCAGAAGACTGTGTTCTGTGAAGGAGGGACAGTGAACTCTGCTGAGTGAAGCTAAGCAGAAACATGAAAGAGGACTGAATGGTGGGGGACAGACACCTGCTGTGTAGGTGGAAGTGAATAAGAGAAGAGAAGAGGAGAGAAGATGCAGACAGCTCTTTTTAGAGGGCGAGCTGGCTATTGTGATTACTACTGAAAGAGTTCCCAGATGGGCTGCAGGAGACTCTCACTTTTGATTGTGACTAAATGGCTAAGGGACCTTGGATCAGCCTCCTCCCATCTCTGGGCCTCAATTCCCCCACCTGTAAAATGGAGGAAGTGTTGGGTTAAAGATTATCACTGACTTGATAGGTGGCCACCACTCTGAGTTCCCTCTATGTAGCAGGCACTGGCTACCGGCCCTCTGCCCAGTAGTATTTAATCGAATTCACCCCTCAACACACTGAGCTCGGTGTTTGCATCCCCACTTAACAGAGGAGGAAATGGAGACAGAGACCCAAGATATCACAACTAGCAGAACTCAACCCTCATCTCCAGCTCCTCCAGACTCTCAGCTCAGACTCTGATCCTGCCAAGTCTCCTCTTCTTCCCAGACCTGCTAAATCCTTCTTCCTCTGGAAATCCACCTGGTCAGCCCGCCTCAGGCACCTCCATGATGTCACCTCCATAGCCCATTGTGGATGGTGGGAGCCAGGTTAGGTGAGCTATCCGGAAGACTCTGGGCCTTTCTCAGAGCCTTGGGGAAGCAGAAAGCTGGGCTGACCTCTGTGACCCTGAATCCCTCTCTGACCCTGAATCCTGGACCCAGTGACACCACACATGATGGGAACTCTTGCTGGGTCCACTCCAGAGGCTCTAGCCACAGGTAGCCCTACCTGTAGAGCCAAGAGCAGGGCCTACATGGGTTTATGCCAAACCAGGATCTAAAAGGTCAGGAGTAGGTGGTGAAGAGTAGGCACCATCCCTTCCTGGAACTCTGGGACTCCCTCCTCCTGCCCCCGGGGCCTCTGCTCTCACCTTGCCTACCCACAGGGGCGCCTATGTTTCCATAGCAGGAAGGGACCGAGAATCTTTCTTCCGAGTCATGTCCATCATTCAGCATATCCACCTCATCTTCTGCAGACAAGGATGTACAGGTCACTGTCCTGGGTCACGGCCTGACTCCTGTCCCCCAAGGGTGTGCGGATAGAAAATGTGGGAGATGAGATGCAAAGATCCAACCAGAATGGGCTGCCTCTGGGAATTCTCCCCAGGCCAGCTTCTGGGGGGGACCTGCGCAGCCATGGGGCCAGTAGTGGGTTGGGATCCAAATGCCTGAGTCTACAGCAGTCAGAGCATTGAAGTGAGGATGGGGTTTCAGAGAGGAAAGGTTGTAAGGGACGAAAGGAGGCAGCCCCCTCATGTCTCTAGGCCTCCGCCAGCTAACCCGTGGTGGACTGAGGGCCTCAAATGTTAGTGATGCTATCTCTGTCAGGGTGTGGAGCTTCCCAATCTGAACGCTGCGGGGAGGGAAGGCCATCCTCTGGGAGGGGCTGGGAGCTACAGATAACACAGCATTCAGGTCAGTACACTGGCTCATCAGGGGTGTTCATCATGTGTCTTCTCACCATCCGACCAACCCCAAGGAGGCCCAGCTCAACAGGAAGACAGGAGCCTATACTTACCATCTCCGTAGATTTTTATCCCTCGTCTCCTGGGAACCCGAGCAGAAGGAGAAGGAAGAAATGTAAGTTAAGGTCTCCTGGGTTGCAGGGATGCAGAGCAGGGCCTGTCCTCCACCCCTGCTAGGGTTAAAGAGGCTGGAGGCTGGGTCTCTCCCTCCTGAGCACATTCACCCCCAATCCTATTCTTAACATGAAAGCCAAGGGACATGTTTGGGGTATCCAACTCCTCCCAACAGGGAAGGATGAGGCAGAGCAGAAAGGCAGAGTCTTGGGTGGGAATCCTAGAGGATTTCCTAAGCTAACCACCCCAGCCTCAGCTCTGCCCTGAAACTTCGGTGGGTCTCCTTAGCCTTAGAATAACTCAAAGTGGTGTTTGGGAGAGCTAGAAGGAAAAAAGAAGCATAAAAGAGAAGCTTTGAAAAGATGAAAGTGCTACACAGTTGACCTCGCTCTACCCTTTAGAGAGAGCCCAGCACAAGGCTTGGGCTGGAATAGGTACACCATCAATGTTTGCCGAGTTAATAAATGGACAGAGGATGGTGAGTCATTCCTCTAGGGCCCATGCATTACTAGATAGCACAATGCAGTTTATGGTTAGACCCAAAGTAGAGCTTCTAAAAAGAAAGTATAAAGAAAAAGATAAGGCAGTCAGGGAAAGTTAATTTTTTATATTCCCCAATACATCAAGAGTCGTTCAGTGGGACCACAGAAAATTGAGAAGCCCCCACGAGGCACCTTACCCTAGATTCACAGGCTCTGATGACAGGGGCACTCTCCGGGTCTTTCTAAGAGACGCCAAAGGTGAGCTCATAGTTCTACTTCTAGCTTCTAGCCATCAGGAACTTCCTGAGAAGAAAGATAGAAGTCAGCTCTTAGGAGCAGAGGGAACCAGGAGGGCCCAGAAGCTGGCCTGAAGCTCTGTCTTCCCTGGATACTTTCCCTAGGAGGGAGCACTGTCCAGGAAGCAGTCCAACAGAAGTTTCTGGAAGAAGCTCAGCCATAGCCCTGCCTTGGATCCCAGCACTGATGTCTGCCTATTCCTCAGGCAATCAGCTCTCTGCTCTGACTCTAAAAGTCTTTGCCCTGGTGGTACTTGGGAAAGGGTGTGGGCAAGATGCAGAGCTAGGTCAGAAGCCTAGCATTCTCCCAAGGTTAGGGTCTGGCACAAGACTATCCAGGAGGCCTGGGGCTTTAGTTGACACAAATCCAGGTCTCTCTGCCCCTCCTGCCCAGCAAGGGAACCCACACTGCCTGATGGCAGCCTCTCTGGCCTTTATTCTGGAGATTGGCACTTCAGGGGGAGCCCTTTTCCAAAGACCAAGTGCAGAATTGCCCTACCTCTACCATCCAGCCTCCCAAGTCTGCCCCACCCTGCCACGGACCCTGCCCCTGTCTTGTCTGGCAACTGGATGACTTGTGTGGCCAGTGGGACAAGCCCTCATGCATTCTCTACATGCATTCTACAAGAGGGGTCTTCATAAAACAAAAAGGTGACATGTCATTTCCAGGTCTTTCCAGGATTCTTCATCCACAGAAAATAATTCCTAATTCCTTAACACAGGTGATATGGTCCAGCCTATGCCTCCAGGCCTCACCCCTCACCTCACCTTTTTCTACACTTAAGCCACATGAACTGCTAGCAATGCCTGAAAGACACAGGTCTTTGCACGTGGGACTCCCCCTACCTGGAAACTCCTCCTGGAATGTTCTCCTACTTCTACCTGCACCTTTGGCCAGGCTGACTCCACTTTTTTTCCTCCCTGCTTTTTCTGTTTATTTTTTATTTTTTTTAAATTTCTTATTTCAAAATAATTATGGATTCACAGGAAATTTGAAAAATAGTACAGAGAGGTCCTTTGCACTCTTCACTCAGTCTCCCCCCAATGGTTATTGTTGTTGTTAAGTGCCATCGAGTCGGGTCCGACCCATAGCGACCCTGTACAGGGTTTCCAAGGATGTAAATCTTTACGGGAGTAGAAAGCCTCATCTTTCTCCCGTGGAGCGGCTGGTAGTTTCGAACTGCTGACCTTAAGGTTCGCAGCCCAATTCATAACCACTATAAGCATAGTACAATATCAAAATCAAGAACACTGCATTGGTACAGTCTAAATCCATTTAAATACAGCCCAAGACTGGACTGACTGGTACAATCCTGTCAGTGTTCACTCGTTGAGTTCAATACCATTCTATCATATGTTAGTTCTATCAAGATTCACAACTGTTCTGTCATGACATAACTTTCCCTTGTGATTCATAATCATATTCACCCTCCTCTCCTCCACTATCCTTAACTCCTGACAAGTAGTAATCTGTGTTGTAGCTCTAAAATTCTGTCATTTCAAGAGTGTTCTATAAATGGAATCATAGTGACTTTTTGAAGAAAAAAAAAAGACAGCTTTATTGAGATGCAATTTAGATACCATACACTTCACTCACTTAAAGTGTGCAATTCAAAGGTTTATAAATTATTCCCAGAGTTGGGCAACTGTCACCACAATCAATTTGAGAACATTTTCATCACCCCAAAAAGAAACTCGATGCCCATTAGCAGTTTCTTCCCATTTCCTCCTCTGTTACTCCATGACAAACCACTAATTTACTTTTTTTTTTACCTATAGATTTACCTATTCTGAGCATCTTATATCAATGGAATCATAGAATATGCATTCTTTTCTGACTGCCTTCTTTCACTTACCATATTTTCAAGGTTTACTCAAGTAGTAGCATGTATTAGTACTTTATTACTTTACATGGTAGAATAATATTCCATTGTATGGGTAAATCATATTTTGTTCATCCATTCACCAGGTGGTACATATTGGGGTTGTTCACACTTCTTGGCTATTATGAAAATGCTGCTTTAAAAAAAAAAATGCTGCTATGATCATTTGTATACAAGTCTTTGTGTGGACATATGTTTTTCTTTTTCTTGGGTACATACTTTGAGTAAAATTGTTGGGTTATAAGGTTACCCTATAACCCAAACCTATGTTACCTGGTGTGGTGCTGTGGGATAAAGCACTGGTCTGCAAGATCAGTTTGAATCACAAGGTCGATGGTTCAAACTCACCAGCTGCTCCTTGAGAACCCTATAGGAGGTCGTTATGAGTTGGAACAGACTCAATGATACTGAACAAAAACAAGCAAACAAAACCTACAGAGAACATCACTCTGAACAGAGAAAAACTGACAACATTCCCTTTTTGAACAAAAAACAAAAATGTCCTATTCAACCAGACAAAGATGCTCCTATTCAATTTTGTGCTGAAAGACAATAATGTTTAACCATTTGAAGAACTTCCAGATTGTTTCCCAAAGCAACTGTTCCCACCAGCAGTGTATGAGAGTTCCAATTTTTCCCCAGGCTCTTGAATTTTTATGTTCTATCTTTTTGATAATCCTAGTGGTTATTGTTGTTAGGTTCTAGCTCATAGTAACCCTATGCACGACAGAATGAAACACTTCCCAGGCCTGTGTTATCCTCAACAATTGTTGTTTGAGCCCATTTTTGCTATCTCTGTATCAAAACTTGGTGAGTGTTTTCCTCTGTTTTGTTGACCCTCCACTTTTCTCAGCATGATGTGCTTCTCCAGAGACTGGTCGCTCCTGGTAGTATTTCCAAAGTACAAGAGATGAAGTCTCGCCATTCTTGATCCAGAGGAACATTCTGGCTATAGTTCTTCCAAGACAGAAAGTCCATGGTACTTTCAATATCCTTTTATCTTCATCAGAAAGTAGTTCAAATTCTCTTTGCTTACAGCAAGCAAGGTTGTTAATATCTCTTCCTCCAATCTTGATGCCATGTTCTTCTTCATATAGCCCTGCTTTACTGATTATTTGCTTAGCATACATATTGAATAATTTTGGTGAAAGCATACAACTCTGATGAACACCTTGCCTGATTTTAAGCCAGAACAATTCCCTTGTTCTGTTTGAACAACTGCCTCTTTGTCTTTGTACAGGTTCCTCACGCGCACAATTAAGTGTCCTGGAATATTCATTCTTTGAAATGTTATTCATAAATTATTGAATGCCTTTGCACAGTCGATAAAGCATAAGTAAGCATTTTTCTGGTATGCTCTATTTTCAGCCAAGCTCCAGCTGATATCAGCAATGATGTCTCTCATTCCATATCCTCTTCTGAATCCAGCTTGAATTTCTGGCAGCTCCCTATGGATATACTGCTACAATCATTTTTTAAATTATCTACAGCAAAATTTTGCTTGCATGTGATATGAATGGTATTGCTTGATGATTTCCATATTCTGTTAGGTCACCTTTCTTTGGAATTGACACAGATATGGATCTCTTCCAATCTTGGTTGGCCAGGTAGCTGCCTTCCAAATTTCTTGACACAGATGAGTGACATTATGTTGAGTGAAATTAGTCACAAAAGGAGAAATACTGCATAGAACCACTACTGTAAAAGATTAAGAAAAAGAACCCATATTAAAGGGGGGGAGAGGGATTCTTTGCTGGTTACTGGGACATGGAGGGTGGGGTGACGGGGGGAGGGGAAGGTGGAGCACAAGGTAGGGAATAGACACAGGATAATTTGGGTGCTAGGGAGAGGGCAATACACAAGAAGGGGGAGAACAAGGTGGATGAGAAAACAATTAGGCAGGTTTGCATGGACTAAGTGAGAGAGAGGTAAATAATGATGTATGCACAACCTTGGAACAACAGGGCTTTGGGATATAGGGATTGAGACATGGTTGGAATGGGCAAAAGGGGAGAAATAATGTTAAAATGCTTGGCTGTCTTTTGAGGCTTGTTTTCCCTGCCATACCATTCTAAAATAGACACTTGAGGGGTAGAGAAAGGGATAGCCAGAAATAGCACCATAGAAAGCTTGTAAGTCCATCTTCTGCCTATAACTGATTGTTGTTGTTGTTGTTATATGCCGTGGAGTTGGTTCTAACTCATAGCAACCTTGTACAGGGTTTCCGAGGCTGTAAATCTTTATGGGAGCCGAAAGCCTCATCTTTCTCCCTCAGAACAGCTGGTGGTTTCGAACTGCTGACCTTGCGGCTCACAGCCCGATTCATAACTACTACGCGACCAGAGCTCCTTTATAACTGATTGGAATACCTAAAATGGGGCTACAATGTGCCCAGTGAGGGAGGCTTCCTGTGGAGCCTCTGCATTACATAAGACCATAGGTGGAATACTGAACCTCACCCAGAATCTTCTGAGGTGGGAAATTTCCACCTGAAAGGACAAGCAGACCAGCCTGGAGCTGCTAGAATAATGGAAGTTACTTCTTGAAAGAAAGACCGACTGACAGGAAAAATACAAAACATTATAGGCAGACCGACTGATTACTACAAGAACAAGCAAGTTGATGGCCCAGGAGACATCAAGGCAAGTGGTTAGGTCCCCTCAGGGCAAACCCCCTTCCAAGACTAAGACTCAATGGGAATAGATGAGCAGACATGCACTCTGATTGGTGACCATGTTTGTCACCAATGAGGGGAAGTGAGGGAAAAACAGCAGTGAAGCTGCGAGGTAAGGCCTACAACATTCAATAGACTCCTGTGAACCCGGGTGGAGACCTGGTTGGCCAGCACTGTGGCAAGACCTGGGGACTCTTGGACCCATGTCTCAGTGACATAGCCACAGAGGACTCGAGTGGAGAGTGAAGTGTCCAGCTGATAAGAAGAGAGGGCATATGCACAAGAACATCCACACTTGCAGATGATACCCATTTGACCTGGCTTCAATGGCTGGATGATCAGAGCTTAACTAAAAGAAGAAAGAAGAGGGAAAAAAATAGTCTGATACAATTTGATAAATTTGACTACGTCTATG